ACGACATAGTTCTTCTACATCGCTACACACTCGCAACCAGCGATTGCCGTCATCCGACTGATCGTTCAATCCAACGATGCTGGATACCAGATGGCCAGAATCCGAATCAGCACCTGAACTTCGCAAGACGGCGTCCTCCAAGTTGCTGGCGCCGGCAGCTGGACTTCGCAAGACAGCGTCCTCCGACCCGCCGGCGCCGCGACCAGGATCCGGATCAGCAACTGAACTTCGCAAGACAGCGTCCTCCAAGTTGCTGGCGCCGGCAGCTGGACTTCGCAAGACAGCGCCCTCCGAACTGCCGGCGCCACGGCCAGGATCCGGATCAGCAACTGAACTTCGCAAGACAGCGTCCTCCAAGTTGCTGACGCCGGCAGTTGGACTTCGCAAGACAGCGTCCTCCGAGCTGCCGGGGCCGCGATCCAGATTCTGTTCGTCTGGCTCGCCCTCCTCATCTTGGCCTTGCGCATCGGCCGGGCCCTTTTGCAACAGTTCGCGGGCCAAGTAACTGTCAGCGGCCGTTTCCAAAACGCAGCCTTCCAGTGCGTCGACGTCGTCACCAGGAGTTAGGCCGGCCTCCAGCGCGACCGACCTGTAGTAAGGCGACGTCTCGCGCAGCTTCTCAACAGCGGCAACATACTCCTCTCTGGGAGCTTGCAAAAGCTTGCTGGACCGCAGTTCCTGCTTCTTCTGCCCAACCAAAACGAACAAGATGCTCTCGGCCATGTCTTGGTCTTTGGGAGCAGAGTAGCCTGGATGGCGCTAGGCCCAGCCTGCGGCAGGAAGATCGTGTTACCGATGTATCCCTTCTGCCTCTCGTCTCGCGGCAGTGACAAAGGTTGCAAGACGGTCACCTGCATGCAAACCCGCACGATGGGAAGCAGCCGTTTTGTTCCAGCCGAGAGGTTGCTGAGCTCGGGCAATACGCGTCCGATCCAAAGGTCGTTGGCCAGCGCATGCCTGGGAAGCGTGAGAATACTGCTCTTCAAACTACTGCGACAGTCTCTGCAAACCGTACAGGGGTCCGTGAAAGATGCCGGCATGCGGCGGCGATGCAGCAGCAGAAACTCGCCTTCAATGTACGGATGCTCCACAGCAGAGGCCTTCAGTTCGGAAAGAGCTATCTGCGGCCAGCGCTCCGCATACCGAGCGACGCCCAACAATCGGCAAAGACGGTGCTGCTGATTCGGGGCCAGCGTCTCGGCGCCGGCAGGTACCTCGATTGTCGACGCATCTTCATCCGGCCTCTGAAAGAGAACCATGGAAAACAACTCGTTCATCCAGAAACGGCGAGCGCACACCACGCAGCCTCCTTCCGCTCGGCCACCGTCCATTTCAAGAGGGGATCGCAGCTCCTCGTCGAAATTGGCAGCGATTGCACGCTGACGACTCATCCCAGGCACCTGACTGTGATCGTTCCTAACACGTTATTACGCACGTCGACCCTTTACCGTAACCGAAAGCAAGAAGGCGCAGCATGCGACAAGAAGCCATCGGACCGGCATGCTCCACCATCGCCAGGATTTTCTTGCGGTATTCAACGAAGGCGAGCTCCACATCCAGCGGCCGCACGAGATGAGTGTCCACGACGTGTTGCTTCAGCTCCGATTGCTTCCGGCAACTGAAGTCGCATAAGCGGCAGCAACACCGTTCGCACGTCACCGAGGCATCGTCCGAAAAAGTCTGGAGCAGGCGACGAGCTACCGCCTCGCTTACGGCAGGTACGCTCCGAGAGCAATTCAGCAGCACAGCGACGCGATCCAGCTTCAAAGGCAACGACACCTCGGAGTCTCGCAAGATCCCGAGCGCTTGCCGCCCCGCCTCGTCCGCGTTCCGAAGCAAGTCTTCCACGGGCAAGAAACGTTGCTTCATACGCCTGCCCTCACACCACCCGGGGACGGCGAACAGCACTGCCCGCTCCACGGCCGAACGCCAGAGAATGCCGTCTAGCGCCTCCGAGCCATCACCAAGGCAGTCAAGTGCCAGCCAGCACAACGGATCGAAATCCGGCGGATAAGCCTTTCTCATGGCCCGGGCCCTCGCAGTGGCACCGTCAGGGTAGTACGCTTCAACACCCTTGGCCAGGACTGGATTCTCCTCTCGCGAAGGCAAACGGTAACACCCTTCAGTCGTCTGCCAGTCCAGAAGCTGATTCCACAAGGTGAGCGTGTCTTTATCTATGCCTTGCTCGCTAGCCCTGGCTGCCGACACTGTGTTAGGATTGTGCAAGTCACGAATGCCGATGCCAGCCAGCGGGTGCAACAGCTCCGTCACCAAAAACCAAGCAAATTGCGACCAGTCTTCAGACTTCCGCACGTCCCCGAAGGTCTGGTACCAGTACAAAGGTTCGTCCGGCTGTGCTTGTCGCTCCCACCCATACCGACGCATCAGCCCCCGAAGCAGTGTGGTATCGGCCCGATCGAACTTGCGAGTGCGAAACTTGTGCTGGATAATGCTCAGGACAGCCTGCCAGGACCCGATGAAACAAACATGAGCGAGAAACGCACAGCAACGCGTGCGCACATGAAGCTACAGTCCAACTTAATCCTCATTATGTCCATGACCCCATGCACGATCACGTCCCAGACTCTCTATGTTTCGGGACGGCTTCGCGCGGGTTGCCTCCAACACCTCTTGGCGATCTTCGTACCCGTCCGTTGCACACGCTCGCGGCTCCGCCTCGAGGTTGGCCAGATACCAGAGCCGGCGAGCAACGTCCACGGGGTCCACTCGCTCGAGGCAATCTGCAAGACGCCACCAACCTGTTTCCCGAACTCACACGCACAACGCACGACAGCAACACGGCATCCAAGACATTACACGAAGATCGTGATTTGCGATAATGCTCGCCTGTCCGCTGATCCACGTGATCTTCCAACACGGCTGCAAGAAGACAATGCTGCATGGAAGAAGTCAGACACGGCACAGTCGCGTCTCTCAAGCCGGCAACAGCAACCTCCCACGTAGAACTCACTTCTCGAGACAGCGCCGTGTCGACCTGTGACCAATGCTGCAGACTGTCCAGAATCTTTTGCGCAAGTAGATCTCTCTACGAATCGGAAGACAGATGTCTCGCGGAAAATGATTCTACCGTAATGTCCAACGAGTACGCAGCCGCGGATTGGCGCACGTTGGCATCCTCGAAGATGTCGCAAGCAGCTGCAACCACCGCTTCAGCATCCTGTGCTCCGGCTCTGCGAACCGCGTAGAGGGATCTCCACATTAGGTACTTGATGTCACCGTCTGCACTCGGAACGCGCAGGGGGCACAACGCCATGACAATCCGCTGAATCAAGACCTGCTTGCTCACGTCCTCAAACGCCACACCCAGATCTTCGGCCACTCGCTGCATACAGGGTCCATCGGCCCGCAAGGGCAAGACACGAAGCCGCGCCCGAATTCGAGGTGGTGCCTTTTCCCCGAGCTCTCCTGCCAAGCGCCGCAAGCCATCTGCCGTGAAGAGGTCCTCGATATTCACCTGTAAGCACTGAAACAAACAGACACACACACACACACATGCACGCACACGCCCCCCTTCCCCCCGTCATACCTCCTCCTGGATGATGCCCAGCGACAAAGCTTCCAACAGATCCGCTTTGGAAAGCGTGTGCCCGGCGCGGTGTCGTCGCACACTCGCAACGACACAGAGCCCAACCAGCTCATCCCTACTCTGCTTCTCCAGCTCGCCGCGGAGCCAGGCTTCGCCCTGCTCGGCATAACCCGTGCGCAGCTCCTGCAGCCTTTGCTGCGACGCCGCTTCATCGGCCTGACACCAAGAACTGCTTCACTGCAGAGCACTAAACATCCCACCCGACGACGACGCTGACAGCTCACTGCAACCGAAGCTGACATGGACAATCCTAAAAAACGCCGCTTCCCCATGAAGCCTGCTCCCCGGCAATGCTCTGTGATAGAGCTTTCGACAACTCCGGCTTGGTAAGCGTGCACCCGGCACGGTGTCGTTGCAAACCCGCAGCGACACAGAGCCCAACCAGCTCATCCTTGCCGTGCTTCCCCAACTCGCCGCGGAGCCAGGCTTCGCCCTGCTCGGCATAACCCGTGCGCAGCTCCTGCAGCCTTTGCTGCGACGCCGCTTCATCGGCCTGACACCAAGAACTGCTTCACTGCAGAGCACTAAACATCCCACCCGACGACGACGCTGACAGCTCACTGCAACCGAAGCTGACATGGACAATCCTAAAAAACGCCGCTTCCCCATGAAGCCTGCTCCCCGGCAATGCTCTGTGATAGAGCTTTCGACAACTCCGGCTTGGTAAGCGTGCACCCGGCACGGTGTCGTTGCAAACCCGCAGCGACACAGAGCCCAACCAGCTCCGCCCGACTCTGCTTCCCCAACTCGCCGCGGAGCCAGGCTTCGCCCTGCTCGGCATAACCCGTGCGCAGCTCGAGCAGCCTTTGCTGCGACGCCGCTTCATCGGCCTGACACCAAGAACTGCTTCACTGCAGAGCACTAAACATCCCACCCGACGACGACGCTGACAGCTCACTGCAACCGAAGCTGACATGGACAATCCTAAAAAACGCCGCTTCCCCATGAAGCCTGCTCCCCGGCAATGCTCTGTGATAGAGCTTTCGACAACTCCGGCTTGGTAAGCGTGCACCCGGCACGGTGTCGTTGCAAACCCGCAGCGACACAGAGCCCAACCAGCTCCGCCCGACTCTGCTTCCCCAACTCGCCGCGGAGCCAGGCTTCGCCCTGCTCGGCATAACCCGTGCGCAGCTCGAGCAGCCTTTGCTGCGACGCCGCTTCATCGGCCTGACACCAAGAACTGCTTCATTGCAGAGCACTAAACATCCCACCCGACGACGACGCTGACAGCTCACTGCAACCGAAGCTGACATGGACAATCCTAAAAAACGCCGCTTCCCCATGAAGCCTGCTCCCCGGCAATGCTCTGTGATAGAGCTTTCGACAACTCCGGCTTGGTAAGCGTGCGCCCGGCACGGTGTCGTTGCAAACCCGCAGCGACACAGAGCCCAACCAGCTCATCCTTGCTGTGCTTCCCCAACTCGCCGCGGAGCCAGGCTTCGCCCTGCTCGGCATAACCCGTGCGCAGCTCGAGCAGCCTTTGCTGCGACGCCGCTTCATCGGCCTGACACCAAGAACTGCTTCATTGCAGAGCACTAAACATCCCACCCGACGACGACGCTGACAGCTCACTGCAACCGAAGCTGACATGGACAATCCTAAAAAACGCCGCTTCCCCATGAAGCCTGCTCCCCGGCAATGCTCTGTGATAGAGCTTCCAACAGCTCCGCTCTGGAGAGCTTGCGCCCGGCGGACTTCTGTCGCACCTCCGAAGCGACGCAGAGCTTAGCCAGCTCATCCCGACTCTGCTTCTCCAGCTCGGTGCGGAGCCAGGCTTCGCCCTGCTCGGCATAACCCGTGCGCAGCTCCTGCAGCTTTCGCTGCGACGCCGCTTCATCGGCCTGACACCAAGAACTGCTTCACTGCAGAGCACTAAACATCCCACCCGACGACGACGCTGACAGCTCACTGCAACCGAAGCTGACATGGACAATCCTAAAAAACGCCGCTTCCCCATGAAGCCTGCTCCCCGGCAATGCTCTGTGATAGAGCTTTCGACAACTCCGGCTTGGTAAGCGTGCACCCGGCACGGTGTCGTTGCAAACCCGCAGCGACACAGAGCCCAACCAGCTCCGCCCGACTCTGCTTCCCCAACTCGCCGCGGAGCCAGGCTTCGCCCTGCTCGGCATAACCCGCGCGCAGCTCCTGCAGCTTTCGCTGCGACGCAGGTTCATCGGCCTGACAGCAAGAACTACTTCACTTCAAAGCACAATACATCCCACCTGACAACGACACTGACGCCTCACTGCAACCGAAGCTGACATGGACAATCCTCAAGAACGCCGCTTCCCCATGAAGCCTGCTCCCCGGCAATGCTCTGTGATAGAGCTTCCAACAGCTCCGCTCTGGTAAGCGTGTGCCCGGCAGACTTCTGTTGCACACCCGCAGCGACACAGAGCCCACGCAGGTCCTGCCGGTTTTGCTTGTCCAGCTCGGTGCGGAGCCAGTCTTCGCCCTGCTGGGCATAACCGGCGCGGAACTTCTGCAACCGCGAATCCATGGGATGGAAGAAGGCGTCCACGCCGGCCCTTTCGCAAGACAGCGTCGAGGCAAGCAAAACACTGTCCCAAGTATGTTCAAATGCAAAAGTGTCTGCACCGACCCTTTCGCAAGACAGCGTCGAGGCGGGCAAACAACTGTCCTAAGTATGGTCAGCTGAGAAGATGAGAATAAGCTGAGAATAATCTCCACACCGGCCCTTTCGCAAGACAGCGTCAAGGCAGGCAAGGAAGCGTACTAGGTGTAGTAAGATGCTGCAATGTGTGCAAAATACTGCAACGCGTTTTCCCTTTCTTCCCTTTCTTCTGCCTTTCGAGCCAAACGAGGCAGGCAAACGTGCAAGGAGAAAGCCTTTACAGAGCAGCAAGAAACTCCGAGCCTGCAGAAGTCATCGGCCAGGCAGCCTGCGAGTCGAACGTGCGCAAGGAGAAAGCCTCTACAAAGCAGGAGGAAGCTCCGAGCCTGCAGGTCATCGACCAGGCAGCCTGCGAGTCAAACGTGTGCAAGGAGAAAGCCTCTACAAAGCAGGAAGAAGCTCCGAGCCTGCAGGTCATCGACCAGGCAGCCTGCGAGTCAAACGTGTGCAAGGAGAAAGCCTCTACAAAGCAGGAAGAAGCTCCGAGCCTGCAGGTCATCGGCCAGGCAGCGGCGCGTTGCGCCGTCGCAAGACAGCGTACGCGCCGTACAGGCGCATGAATATATGTCTATCTATCTATCTATCTATATATCTATTATCTATCTATCTATCTATCTATATATGGATAGATAGAAAGATAGAGATATATATATATATATATATATGTGCGTATATTATCGATATATGCATCTGCCAATCCCTCTGAAGGGTTGCCAATTGCACCTCGCAGAGATGCAAGTTCCTGCAATCGACCACGCCACTCCCTGTGGAGAGTTGCACGGCGGAAAGGATACAAGTAGTAGTTTGCACACACGTTTCAACCCTGGACCACGCCAATCCATGCAGAGGGTTACACGCAGCGCCCAAAGACCATGCAACAGTACCTGCACACCTTCCGATTAGAACATTCGAGGAAGCTAATCCCTCTCAATGAAGGATTGCGCGGGGCACCGCAAAATGTGTAACTTTACCTTGCGTTCGACCACTCGACCACGCCAATCCCTGTGAGGGGTTGCAAAATTCATTTCAATGCTCATCAAAAATTGCAACTTTACCTCGCGTTCGAACACTCCACCACGCCAATCCCTGTGAAGGGTTGCAAAATTCATCTCAATGCTCATCAAAAATTGCAACTTTACCTCGCGTTCAACCACTCGACCACGCCAATCCCTGTGAGGGGTTGCAAAATTCATCTCAATGCTCATCAAAAATTGCAACTTTACCTCGCGTTCGAACACTCCACCACGCCAATCCTTGTGAAGGGTTGCAAAATTCATCTCAATGCAAATCAAAAATTGCAACTTTACCTCGCGTTCGAACACTCCACCACGCCAATCCTTGTGAAGGGTTGCAAAATTCATTTCAATGCAAATCAAAAAATGCAACTTTACCTCGCGTTCGAACACCCGACCACGCCAATCCCTGTGAAGGGTTGCAAAATGCAAATCCCTGTGAAGGGTTGCAAAAAAAATTGAACTGCACCCAAACCCTGTGAAGGGTTGCGCGGCGCCCGCAAGAAGTGTAACTTTACCTCGCGTTTGAACGCCCGAGGAGGCGAATCCCTGTGAAGGGTTGCGCGGCGCCCGCAAGAAGTGTAACTTTACCTCGCGTTTGAACGCCCGAGGAGGCGAATCCCTGTGAAGGGTTGCGCGGGCGCCTAAAATGTGTAACTTTACCTCGCGTTTGAACGCCCGAGAGTTCCAATCCCTGTGAAGGGTTGCGCGGGCGCCTAAAATGTGTAACTTTACCTAGCGTTTGAACGCCCGAGGCAGCGAATCCCTGGGAAGGGTTGCCGGTGCGCCTAAAATGTGTCACTTTACCTAGCGTTTGAACGCCCGAGCAGCGAATCCCTGGGAAGGGTTGCGCGGGCGCCTAAAATGTGTCACTTTACCTAGCGTTTGAACGCCCGAGGCAGCGAATCCCTGGGAAGGGTTGCGCCGGGCGCCTAAAATGTGTCACTTTACCTAGCGTTTGAACGCCCGAGGCAGCGAATCCCTGGGAAGGGTTGCATTCCCGATGGACCCCGACGGTGCCACCCCCGCCAATATTAAGAAATATTAAGATACCGAGATGTAGAGAGTAAGTCATAAGTCATAGTAAGTCATAGATAAGTCATAGATGCATAGAGAGTCAGTCATAAGTAAGTAAGTATAGTAAGTATAAGTAAGCAAGTCAAGTAAGTAAGTAAGTATAGAGATAGCATAAAGATAGCAAGTATAGTAAGTATAAGTAAGCAAGTCAAGTAAGTAAGTAAGTATAGAGATAGCATAAAGATAGCATAACATAGAGTCCAGTGTCAAGTGTCAAGTGTCAAGTAAGTTAGTAAGTAGATTGAAGTAAGTAAGTAAGTAAGTAAGTCGTAAGCATAACATAGAGTCAAGTATCAAGTGTAGAGTCAAGTATCATAGAGTCAAGTGTCAAGTGTAGAGAGTCAGTCATAAGGGTCAAGTAAGTAAGTAAGTATCAAGTGTAGAGTCAAGTATCAAGTGTAGAGTGTAGAGTAAAGTATGGAATCAAGTGAGTTGATTCTATGTCTGTCATCTATGTACTCAGCTGCGGCGTTCCACACGGAAGAACCCTTCGCGATGCTTTCGGGAAAAAGGAGAGCGACGGCTTGACCTGGCTAGAAGCCGAGGCCGGGGTGCAGCGCAAAATGCCACCGCACTTCGAGCCGACCGATTTGCATGCATCTGCCTTGCATAACAATAAGTCGTGCGTGCAGGACGAAAGCTGCAGGACACGTACCTCAATGGGCCGACCTGCAAATTATGAAAGCAACATAGAGCATTTTGCTGCGCTTGCCTGCAGTTTCGCGTATTTCGGAAGGCAAGAGGAAGAACCCGAAAAGAAGACGCAGCGCTTCCCGACAGCCGAACGTGGCGGAACCTCGTCGGAATGCCTCGTCGCTGCCTTTGCTGCAGACCGCCGCAACATGCCCAAACTCGCATGATAAGAAACGGCTTGACCTGGTCAGCGGCTAAAACCCGGCGTGCAGTGTGAAGCGGCACCGCAATTAGAACCAAGAGATTTAGACGCGTGCTGCAGTACGTACGAAAGAAGAATGAGTTTCTTCTCTTCCCGCCACTCCAACCCCGACGGCAAGCGCCGGCAAACAAAGTCCGCCACTTCGTGGTTGTTCGGAACGTTCCGCTAGCTTTGCTGCAGGCCGCTACGACTTCGTCGTGCCCTAGCAAACATAATAAATGAGAGCGACAGCTTGACCTGGCTAGCAGCCGAGGCCTGGGACGCAGCGCCATACAACACCGCACTTCGAGCCGACCGATTTGTGTGCCTGTGTTTTGCATAAGAATAAGTGGTACATGCCCTGTAAAATGGCAGTGACTTCGAACCGAGTCGTGCCGAAAAGAAAACAGAAAGGACGGCTTGACCTCGCCGGCGGCCGACGCCCGGCCTGCAGTGTGAAGCGACACCGCACTTAGAACCGAGAGTTTGATACGCGTCCTGCAGTAACTATCAGTGAAAAATGAGGTTCTGCTGTTCCCGCCACTCCACCCAAAATTCCACTGCCTTTGCTGCAGGCCGCTTCGACTTCGTCATGCCCTAGCAAACAAAAAAAGGGAGAGCGACAGCTTGACCTGGCTAGCAGCCGAGGCCTGGGGCCTGCAGTGTGAAGCGGCACCGCACTTACAATCGAGAGATGTATACACGTGCTGCAGTAATTATCAATGAAGAATGAGGTTCTTCTCTTCCCGCCACTCCACCCCCGACGGCAAGTGCCGGCTTATGAAAATCCACCACTTCGTGGTCGTTCTGAAAATTCCGTTGCCTTTGCTGCAGGCCGCTTCGACTTCGTCATGCCCTAGCAAACAAAAAAAGGGAGAGCGACAGCTTGACCTGGCTAGCAGCCGAGGCCTGGGATGCTGTAGGATTCCGTGCAACACGACGCCGCACTTCCAGCCAACCTATATGTATGCATTAGTTTTGCATAAATATGACTAGTACGTGCAGGACGAAGGCTGCGCGTTGCAGACCTCGGCGGAGCGAAGCGAAAGGCCCAAAGCAGAACAGAGCATTTCACTTCGCTTGCCTACGCTTTCGCATATTTCATAGAGCAACAGAGAGACCCTGAAGAGGCGGCAGAATGCGACCGCGCCGGAACCTGGCTGGAATGCCTCGTCGTTGCCTTTCCTGCGGACTGCTGTAATTGCCCAATCTAGTCGAGTCGCGACCTTTCTGTCGCCCTCC